ACTAATTGGCAATATTAAATCTCTTTATTTCCAATATGCAATGATAAATATAAAAATCATGTAAATAGATTCTTAAATAATCATATTTTTAAAAATTCCATAACATCCAAATCAATATAAGGTAAATATCATCTTCGTTATTTCATATGTCTTCATTTCAATAATGAATGAGTGATAGATAATACTTCCAATTTATTCTTACTACTTAGTTTGATATTTGGTTAAATATGTAAAAAATTAAACTCCGATACGGGGAGTCGAACCCCGGTCTCCACGGTGAAAGCGTGATGTGATAGCCGTTACACTATATCGGATAGTTATTCCTTGTTTTTGAACATTTTAATGATAAATTTATATGGAAGTTCAATTACTCTTAAATCACATGATAAATTAGCAAGAGTCGTAAGTATGAACGCCTAATATCCATACGTATACCCCCTTTAGAACTACATCTTTTTGATTGAACCATTTAATAATATGGAATTATCCATATTTCATGTCATTATATAATTGTTAAGCAAACACAATTCTTAAGAGACGCCTGAATGGCATTAGCTTGGCTTATTACAGAACGAACATCAATTACAGTTTGAATTCTTGATACTATTTCTATAAATCAAAAGTATATAAACAGGGATAATGAAACTGTAGTCTGTATTTTTCAATATTTTGGAAGCCAAAGTTGTTTCAATAGTAATTCGGCCTCATATGGGCACATTTAGTGTCCAAGCTGCTACACACCATATTCAGTATTGGTAATTCTGGTGGCTCGTCCATTACTAATGGCCTAGATGACACGAAACGTTGTATCGAAATAATTTGGATTTAAATAGAGATAAATATTCACATTTGTAATATTGAATGGTTGTGCAATTTATTCAAGAAACATCATTGTCTAAGAAAGAGAAGGGGGAAAATCCCCACATATCAATACTACATAACTAATACAAGAAATACAAACTAATTCTCAAGACAAGATGTTTAACTTGTAGTAGAAGTCGGACACAGTTTAAATTAATAACTAGATTAATATCGTTAAGAAGGTCTAAAGTTATTTAAGAATATTAGTATTTTAATTCTACTTGTTATTATATTTCAGAGGTTTTCACATCTGCTATATATTCGGTCGATGTCACGTCACAATAGCTTTACCGCATACCCTTTTGGCACTTGAAAGATTATTCAATTGTATTGGCAATAATCTAGTATACTATTAGTCAATATCTGTTTAATTAGTGCTTATATCACATCTTCTTTTCCTTTGAAAAACATTCTGAAATATATTAAAATTGTTGAGCAAAGCCTTTAACCTATTTCAGGAAGGTTTGATATGGTCACTAGGCTGTTGACCATGGCAGCTAAATCTACCCTTCGCAAAGAGGCAAAAGCTTAGGTCACAAATATAGTTAATTCTTTCTCATAATTTTTAATACATATTTGTAGGACGTTAATGATTTTTCTATTTTCTTATTAAGTATCTGTCATTTAAGGTTGCTTCCTGTTTCAAGGAACAAAGAAAGTGATGTCACTCTTCACAATGGCATCCAAAATATCATTTCTTGAGAAGTTGAAGAAATTTATATAATAAATATGGTGATTTCTTGTTTTTCTTTAGAATTGCAAATTCTGACGGATGAACCAAAGAAATATCTAAGCATTTCATAACTGACATCTCAATAGGAGAGAGGTTTAAAATTATGCTACTCTGTCACAGCTCAATATTTCGTGTAAGGTTTACTGATTCTAATTAAATAGATATTTTATATATCTATAATATTTTTGTAGTTAAGAGCAGAAGGCTTGGTTTAGTATTAACTTGTTGTTGAACAACTACTGACACCTAAAAATGGTTTTAACATACATATATTAAATACCATTTCTTTGCAATCTGAATTGAAGTCAAAATATTTACTTAAAAACCATAGACATACTATATTGATGATTATACTCAGTACATATAATACAGTTCAGTTAATTTATTTTTTGATGTGTTTCAGTATTTATTGTTATTATTTTACTTTTGATCAATCTACCTATTGTAATGTACAGTTGTGTATTGGATTGAAACGGGTTTTCCATCAAATTTAAGAGCTTGAGTTCTTTTGTCAGTATTATAATCTCTCAACATTATTCTCTCTTGTTTTATATTTTCTAAAAGTTCAGGAACATATTTCTTGGAATAAAATTCTGCAATTTGGCTTTCAGCCAAGTGTTCCTTTGTTTGAGCCATATCCTTCTGAGATTTTTTGTTTACTCTATCCTTAACTTCTACATCTTTTAAAATAATTGACAGTGATTTCTTTCTAGTTTTAGTTGCTGGGATTTCGTTAGTTAATATTTGTTCTTTTGCCACTTTGATTGACAGACAATTTGTCCTTCTATTATAAGAACATCTTTTAGAGGCATTTGGAATTACAACAAAAGAGACAGGTTCAATTTCATTTTTTTCTAGATCATACTTCTGATTATTTGTACTAGATTCTTGATCATTACTAATATCATAACTGATATCAAATTCTTGGAAATCGGAATCAATTGTGTGAATTTTGACACCATTTTTTATGGAATCTGATTTGGGAGAAATGTCGTCAGTATCAGATTTATCATCTTTACTCAAAAACTGATCTACAATAGACATTATTTCATCTTTTGTTTCTTTTCCATTTTCTAACGTAAAATCTGATGTTTCTACAACTCCAAGTAATGATAAAGAGCCAGTAGAATTAATCATATTGGATTCTTTCAAACTTGTTTGAGTCAAGTAAATTGGAGGAGTGTTCAGAATAGAATCTTCGTAATCGCAAGAGCTTTCATCATAATAATTGTCGTCTATGACACCTTCATAAATTAAGATATTGTCACTAGATGTATCTCCTTCTTTTTCTGTATTTATTTTTCTTTCTCTGTCATTGATCTGTTCCTGTTGTTCTTCTTGTTCCTCATCTTCATCTTCCCTTTCGTCATCATAATCAGCAATGGATTCAGCATCTGCGTCAGCATTTGTATTTCCACTTGAAACATCTTCCTCTGTAGAAATATCTTGGGTTTTATTGTCTACTTGACACTTATTTTTAACCTTATTTGTCGACTCATGTTGGTAGTTTTCTTCTGATTCTTCTGTAGAATGGATAGAACATACCGGCGTACTTTTGCTCGATGAGATTGCAATTTTGTTCTCGTAATTTAAAAATCTATTTTGATTATTTAAATGAGATTTATCTGTGTCATCTAAAGATGGAAATCTAATAGGTTGTATAGTAGTACAAATTCTTTCAATTTTATTTAAATCATCATAATTTAAGTTCTGGAAAGGTTGCAATTCTCCAAACTCATTATCTATTCTTTCATCATCACAGTATGGGCTATGCTCCATACTTGTTTCGGAGAATATTTTTTTCATTGAGTACTCAAATAGCAAATCTAGATCTTTGGGATAAGTATGGTAAATATCATAACAAGATAATTCATCTTCTTTTTTTGAATGTGAATTTTGGCAATTGATTTGTGGAGAACTATTTATTGTATTTGAACCAACTTCTTCCCTACTGTATTCTTTTTCTTCGACGTCAGACAAAGGAATATCTATGCCAGTGGCTACTGAACTGTTCAATCTCAATCTATCTATACCTGATTTGAATTGATCTTTGATATGGTTTAATTTTTCCCTACTAGCTGAGAAACTATTGTTTCCAGAGGTCAATGAGCTTGAACCCTGTAAACTATTTGCAGATGGAACGTTAGTGCCTGCATTATTCTTTGTAGAAATAGAATGAAGCCATTTCCTAATTGAATACCTTTTTGAACTCTTTGTAGGGGTTGATTGATCTAGAGGAGAAGGTTTATTCATTGGAAACAAGCTCATTTTACTTGATATATAATTTGCGTATATTTTTTAGTGACTCTTGTAAATTCCAGATTCTTTTATATCTTTGGTGTTGTTGTTGTTTTGCCCACCTACTACTCATATAATGGGAAAGATCCCTCTAGCAAATATCTAACACGTTTAAGGATAGATCACAAATTATCAATTTCAACTGAAATTATACCAATCTATATAGATTCAAATAATAACTAGATAAGATGCAGGTGCATTTCAGTTATTATTAATATTCAAAATTGGCCTCTTGGTTTAAATTTAAATTTACATTTACATTTACATTTGCATTTGCATTTGCATTTGCATTTGCATTTACTTTTACTTTTACTTTTACTTTTACTCTTGCATTAATCTATTGTTCAAAATTTACAAAAGACCATTTTGAATTACTGACACAAACGCTAATGAGAACAACAACAGTGAGAATAACAAGAAAGATCGGTCACCAGAATTTGTGGAAAGTTCAACACGGCAATTATCCATAAATACATACAATCATCAGTAACTAATAAAAATGTAAAGTGTAAACAATTGTTGTAATTGTTATAAAAAACAATTACAACAATTGTTATTTACCCATACCTTAAAAAGAGTGTTTAAATAAAACAAGAAAACAAGTAAAAAAAAATAAATAAAAAAGGGTATAAAGTAAGCCAATATACATAAAAGTAAGTTCTTGAACTGATTACATTGGTTCCAAAATTTATTCCTTGCACATATAAACGTCAGTGACAGTTTATTAAAACTGTATAAGCATCTCATATATCTAAAAGATTTGGTTAAAATATAATACGTATAAACAAATGGTCGGCTGGTCGGTTACATTTTTTTCAATTGGAACTCCAACGTGACTGCTCGAAAAGTGACCAAACACCTGTACATTTCCATAAAAGTCAAAACCAAATTTTGTGCTGTTTCTTTTTCTCTTCCCGGAACAAAATTCGAAGATGTCGAAAAAAGATAACCCAAAATTAAATCAAAACATGTCCGAAACGCACAACGCAAAACCGACTCAAGTTTTTGAAAAAAAATCACATTGCATCTTGAAATTTTTCAGCTGGTGGGGGGGGGGGGTCGGTGGGACAGATACCAGTTGATACTTACTGTCTTACACACTTTGCTCGTTGTTGCCCATGTTACTTCCCTCTCTCTGCGTGGGTAGAGATGGAGAGAGCGTGTGCTATTATTCCAAACTACTTGTCAAACTTTATAGCCATCTAGACAGCAAACACTTTCTACCGTTACCTGGTCTCCAGCCTGACCTTTGCTGTCCCCGCCTGCCTATTGTAACTTTATGCTCCTTCTAGCATGACCATCTAGTTTCTCAGTTCTCTCTCTAACTTCAACTCTAATTCTAATTCTAATTCCGACTCTCTCTGTTCACAGTAGGCTCATCTAACCAAACCAAACCAAACAAGCATCGCTTGAACAAATTTCCAACGTTCAATAAACCAAACTGAATACTCTGATTGTGTTTAGTTACTGCTTACTGACTTTACCATTACGGAATGGACTCTTGTCAAGTTAACTTACTATCAACATCAACATCATCATCATCATCAAAGCATCAAAGCTTCTGTTTCTCAATTCGAATTGAATTGAATTGAATTGAATAGTGATGATGAACCTAACCCAAACGTTTTCCTTGTCTTGCTAGTAGTAACTCTTCACAGCACTCACTCAATTCTAGGCAATTAATTCATTATCCATCATCGTCTCTATCAGTTGTTAGTTACTGAACAAAATTCAATATTCATCATCAAATAGTTCTGTAAACGTCTATTTATTAATAGTAATACATATATCTAGAGGTGCTATTGCAACATCTTTGATACATTTAAAATACAAGTTGAAGAAATCAAGAAACCGTAAAGATGTCCACTGAATTGACTGTTCAATCTGAAAGAGCTTTCCAAAAGGTATGAATAAACTATATTTATATTTAATGTTTTTTAGTTGTTAGATGAGAGACGAAATAAAAATATCAAGGTGAGATTTAGAATTTAGATAGATAGATAGATAAAGAGCATATGGAGGATTCATTATCATAACAATAAGATGGCTGTGGATTTTTATGCTCATACCGATCATTATAGATTTTCCACCATCATAGAAAATGTTAACTGGTAGTAACGATTAATTCTGATATTGTTGATTGATATAATTTGTTTTATTTCAAATGGAATGAATTATATCCATCTTTACCAGAATAAAATTTAAAGAACAATAATTTCACCAAATTTTAAAATTGAAAAGTGGAAAAAAAATTTCCAATGATTACTTTAAAGCACTGTGTATCTAGACGAAGGTATACTAATGGTGTAAATATTATAACGATAAGTCTCTCATTTTTCCAATTATTGATTTAATGATATAGATGGCATAATTACTAACAATTTTTTTTATAATATAATTTTAATTAGCAACCACACATCTTCTCTAACCCAAAGTTCAAGACTTCCAGAAGAACTAAGAGATGGTATAAGAACGTCGGTTTGGGTTTCAAGACCCCAAAGACCGCCATTGAAGGTACTTACATTGACAAGAAGTGTCCATTCACTGGTATGGTTTCTATCCGTGGTAAGATCTTGACCGGTACTGTTGTCTCCACCAAGATGCACCGTACTATTGTCATCAGAAGAGACTACTTGCACTACGTTCCAAAGTACAACAGATACGAAAAGAGACACAAGAACGTCCCAGTCCACGTTTCCCCAGCTTTCAGAGTTGAAGTTGGTGACATCGTCACTGCTGGTCAATGTAGACCAATCTCCAAGACTGTTAGATTCAACGTCTTGAAGGTTGCTTCTTCTTCCAAATCTAAGAAGCAATTCACCAAATTCTAAGTTTAATAAATTTGGTTAATTAATTAAAGCTTTTTATTTTTTCTAAATATATAATCATTTGTATAATGTATTAGAATATAAAACAACATTTTATTATCACTCTCTGAATTAATTTCAAGAACGTATTCATGATTGGTGAGTAGATTATATCCTATAATATATAAATATACATCTGGTTATACAATCATGTGCCTCACAGAATATGTGATAATTAATAGTGATACATATATTTTATAATAAATTAAAAAAATTAACTAAGTAAAAATACAAAACCTTAAAGGGTAATTTAATTAAAATAAGGTTATAGAAGAATAATAATATCATGTGCGGAAAGTTTTGATTAAATATTGTGTAGTTAGTTATGCTACTTCATGCATCAAATGTTGTTAATAATTCTTTAGAAATTTCATTTATAGTTTTAGACTTTGCATTCTTTATTTTGCCTCTCATCTTTTCGTAACAGAGTTTTAATTCAGCGCCACTTAGAGATAAACCGGTTACTTTTAACATGGCTAAGTCATCCCAATCGACTTGAGAATCTTCTGTAAATCCTAAATCTCTTAATTTTCCTAGTATCCATTTTTTGTCATTATCTGTTATGGTTTCTATTTTATCCATTGCCTGCTTCTTCATCAACTTATTCCATTTATAACGACATTGGATACGAGATCTTTTACCTCCCATACGTTCACTAACAATAGTCCAATTTATGATATCCTTGAATGTCTTATGACGTTCTTCCTTTTTAGACATATCTGTAATATCATCAAATTCGTCTTTTCTGTCATAAGACTCGTTTTCATTATTCGCTATTTCGGCTTCACTTAACATTTCACTTATCACCTTCTTTAATAACTCTTCTTCTTCAGTTGTCCACTTATGTGATGATCTCTTATCACCACATTTTACATAATTTCTCCAGCGATCTCTACAATCCTCAGGCATTCTTCCCAATGCCTTACCAATTTCTGACCACTGTCCTTCCTTTTCGACACATAGCCTAGCTAATTCACTTTCCTCTTGTGGAGTCCATTTACCACGTTGTTCGAAGATGTGATACTTTCTACGAACATGTTTGTAAATTGATGATCTTGTCCTGTAAGGTAAAACCTTACAGATATTTACCCAAAAGTCATCCTTACGACGCTCATTGCTCCAAATTCTTTGACATATTTCTTTTCTGCTTAAATCTTTGATTTTTTGGTATTCATTAATGAACTGCTCTAAGGCGGCTTCTTCTGCTGCATCAAACGATTTACCACTAGCTTGAGATGTTGTGGCCACTATGCTTGCAGAAGCTTTTGTTGCTGCCGATTGAACCAGGTGTGAAACGTCTATTACTAATGCCCTATTATTTGTATTATGAACCTTTGGCAATAGCTCACGGAATTCAGCTTTTTGTGCCTGTCTATTCTCACCGTTTTCTGTTTCGTTATTTTCATCTAAATTAGCAGATTTTTGTAAATCAGCGTAAGTTTTGGCATTATCTTCGGCTGATGCTACTTGTTCAGCTTCATGTAGCATTCTTTTGGCAAGTTTACTTTCTTTGTAATCGTCATCTGTATTTAAATACTGTTGGAAGTCTGGATGTTGAGTAATTGAGTCAGAATCAATGATGGCCTTTCTTACTAATTGATCATGCTCAGAAACATCTACATCGTGGTGATCATGATTCTCAGTATCATCATCCAAAGTAGCCAATTCTGGATCTACTGCAACTTCATTCTTTTTATCTTTTATAACCTTGGATTTTTTAGAAGGTCTGTCATTGATATTTTTGCTTGTATTATTATCATGAAATCTAGTTTCCTTATTTTTCTTGGCATTCTTTGCACCGTCATTATGTTTATCTTCTTTTCCTCTGTTTTCTCCATTTATAGGTTCTTCATTCTCTCTATTAGCCAATCTGTAAGATCTTTTTTGTGATCTGTTGTTGTGAGCAGCCGCTAATGCATTGGCTACTGCAGCAATTGCTACTGCGTGAGGTTCACGAGAAGTAGGATCATTTCCATCTGATGTTTGCTGGTTATTTTGTGAGTTGTTGATATCAGCATGTTGTAATAGCCATTGCATTTCCTCTTCAACTGCAGCAACCGCGGCATCAGCAGTAGTCGAGTTGCGTCTATCACTTTTATTTTCATTTTCGTTATTATCGTTTTCTCTATTTTCTCCATCATTGTCGTCATCACCATTAGCAGTATTCTTTGATTTTTCATTTTCGTCACCATCTTTTACTTTAGCATCATCTTCCGCTTCCTCCTCTTCCTGTTCTTGTTGACGTTCCTTTTGATGTTCATGTTCTTCCTCTTGTTCTTTAAGGTCCTGTTGTGATCTTACCTCATCATCGTTATCACGAAGGCCAACGCCAACATACTTGAAAACAGCTTCCTCTACTGATTCCTGTCTTTGATGAGCATTCTCATCATTATATCTGGTTTTATTTGCACCTCTCGCCATAGTAATTAAAATATGTTTATTCTAATTATTACGTGTAAAACCAACGAAAAATTTTTTTGTATCTTTGTTTCTTCACTCTAAGAACAAATTCGACAAAAAAAAACCTTGTGATACCAATATCAAAATAAAATGCAGGACGAACCTCTTAAAACTATTTTAAATCTTTGACAGTTCCTTGCACTGACACTTTATTCAATAATATTAAGATGGTCTATATTGACAAACCTTTAAAATCAAAGAAGAGCAGGGTAAGCTTAACGATTTAAATAAAAAAAATCTCAAAAACCTTAAAACCTTCTTAAAATTTTTCTATTCCTAGAATTTTAATTCTTCTCCTTCTTCAAAAATAGATACCAGAAAAAGGCTTGAGTGGATCACTAACGAATCAATCAAGTTCAAATTTTCTTAACAAGTTTTTTTTTTTAAAAAAAAAAAAATGATTGAATAATGGATGGGTCAGACTGCTTGTTAGGTTGTTTTTATCTTCAGGAAAATTTAAAGGTTCACCAGTAGCAGTAGTATTTTAATCACGCGACAATCAGTTCCTAAAGTGTAAATTTAAGTCTGAATCTGAAGAAGAATAGTGTGGTGATTTTTACTTTGATCTCAAAAAGAGAACTTAATTTTAATTAATGGATTTAAAAGATCAAAACAGAATCAAAAGCTGACAAAATACTTGATATTTCTATAATTAAAAATATTAATTACAGAATATTCAATTTCCCAATTTTCCTTGTTAATCCAAATATATTATTGAAAAGGATCAACAAAATGTCTAAATTTTTATAATTATTGATACAAAAGGGCTCCTTAGACAGCGACCTCCAATTTGAAATAATTCTCAAACCCTAATATTCACAGTCGATCCCAAAGCTTCAAACTCAAATAATATCTTGGTTGACAACTTCTCAAAGAGATTAGATTAATAGTTCCTCTTGTTTAAAATAACTTGTTTTGATTCTTATAACATTGTTGATCCGTTTGTTTATTACGGTGGATGTGTGAGAAAGATGAGATGTTGTTGGAGCATCTTTAGCTCTTCTCTTCGTATAATGCGATACAGGTCCTTTTTTCTTTGGTGCCAAAATATATTCGTATGAGGTGATATCTTTTTGAATTTTGGGGAAGCACTTGAAATGCGGGTAATTAGTAGTCACGTGATTATATTCATACATACACACTTAGCCGCCCAGCTTATATATGAGAATATTATACAGTTGGATATTTTAGACTCAGTTAAACCTATATATATATATATACATTTGTGTCATTGTTGAAGTATATAATGGTATAAGTTTATGCGTTCTTATGCATGATCTATATGTATGTTGGGTTAGTTCAGCTCAATAGCTCCATTTATATACCCTATATATCGTGTGTATATCTATAACAAGATAATCCTACATAAACTTAAATATATAAATGTCGTATTATCCATGGTTAGGAGAGCTGGTTGATTCATGGGTTAGTTTTATGCAGGTGGGGGAGGTGCATTGGCCAAATATATCCTTTCTGATGCCGACTGGAACATTTGTAAAAGCTTTATGTAGTCTACTTGTTGGTCTTTTTGCAATATATCTCTACTGGAACTCATCAACCTTCTAAACAAACGTTGGATGATTTTGATAAACTCAACTAGACAATCAACAGACTCGCCCATGATGGAGAGATTGGTCTTCCCCTTGGCAGGATCCTTCACAATTATCGTCACATTTTCACAAAATGTTTTTAATATTTCATAACATTCCTTCTCAAGGTAAGGCAAATATGAAGTTGGTAGATTCGTAGATAATATTAGTGTCTCTTTGATCATACTGATCGTAGAAATCAACGTATCCGTTGCAACAAATGTTTTATCCGCTACTACAACCGATTTCCTATGACCCTTAGGAGCTAAATTATCCGGTTCATTTGAAACAGCTACTTCTACTTCAGGAACTTCAGCAATATCTTGTGGCTTCTTATCATATTTAGAAGGGTCAATTTCTAAAAATTTAGTCCAATCCAAGGGATCCAAGTCCATAGATGAAACGATATCATTGACATCTTTCTGAACAGACGGCTCTACAATGAAAGGTGTCCATTTCTCAGCAGATATTTTCTGTTTTAGTGTCCTCACACTCCTGAAACTTTTGGTGCCAATATAATGCTTGATCTGAGCAGATAAAACTTCACTAAGATATCTTGTTAGGAATTCCCCACTCACAGCTTCGCATTCTTGAATAAATAAAACACAGATAGAATAAACTGCTAAAAAATAATCAAACCGAAGCTGGGATGTTAAATCTCTACGAACTGCAATAATTTTACCCATACGTAATTGAACTATTCTTATACTTTCATTGATACCATTTCTAATATCTAACTGTGTAATCATATCATGTTCATTTCTTGAAGATTGTCCAACAGACATAATCTCATTAAGAGATATGTCAAGGAGCAGTTTTTGGTGTCTATAAAGTCTACGGATAGCCTCGCTTGCTCTTGTGAATGTCTTAACCAACATTTCTTCAAACTCCATTGGGGTCTGTTCTTTAATTAATCTTGAAAGTTTTGAGCCACTATTACTAGATTTTCCAGAATCAGGTCTCGAAGAATTCTCCAAATCTGAAGGAGATGTGTTCTCTTGTGGAAGATATATTTTTATAATAGACTTCAATTCTGTGATTGCCTTATCCTGGTATACACTAAAAGCACTTGTTAATTCCTCGCATTTGAATAATTTATCGATTAATACTGATAAGGAGGATTGCAACTCTGAGTTAATGACTAAATATTTCTTATCTCTTGAAATATTCTGCAATCTTTCTAAGGATTCTTTGCTGTTAACTGAATCACAATATTCTTTTAAATCTAAAATTAAAATATCACATAATTGTAAAGAGAATTTACCACCAATTTCTATCCTCATATTAGTTAAATACTCCCTAGTTTCTGATAATGATGGAACAGACTTTATATCTATTAATTTATGCGGCCAATTTTCTGTCCATTTTTTAACATCGTCATTTTTGGTATTATCACCTCTTATCAAATCGTCAATAGAGTTTATCATTCCCATACATGAATCGTATTCATCTTTCTCATACAGTTTTTTACATTCTTCAGTCTTTATTAAAACTTGTTTAACCTGCAACAAACCTTGTTCTAATTTTTCAATATTTCGTTGTTTAATAATTTTTTGAAGTTTCTCTATTTTGCCTTGTATTTCATTTTTATCCACATCTTGCAACTTTTGAACTATCATGACCAATCCGTTTATTGAATTGCTAACTTTCTCTTGGATTTGGTCAACATTACCAAGAGTATGGAAAAATTTATGAGAGGATTTTGAGATTTCTGTGACTAATAGGCCCTCAACAGCATCCAAATAAAAATTTAGTCTATCCCTTAATTCTATAAATGCGTCATTTCTAATAGATTCATCTTCTGCATCCAATTTACCTAGTTTCAAATCCAAACCTTCTAAAACATTATGGAAAGTTCTTGGATTATCTAGTTGGAACCCTTTTTTAAAATAGAAATCAGGTACTTCATCAAATTCTTTACTTGCATTCCTTTTATTGGAAATATAGTTTTCATCGCTTATATTTTCCTCATTTTCGATAATATTGTTATTATCAATATCATTATTATTGGTATTTGTTAAATCAGTATTTGAGAAATTATATGCCTCTAATTGTTTAATTTTCTCTAATCTATTCATATGTTTTAGATTATTTGTGCTTTCAAAATAAGAATATTCAGTTTTTATAGAATCGACGTATTTTTTGACATCAGCTTTCCATTCGGAATCAATCTCATTTTTAGTTAACACAACAGGAGGTATGTCATAAGATGTTGGATAATTCAACCAATTTTTTCTTCTTGTATTCATAACAATCTCATAAATTGAGTTGTTTCCTAATGGAGAATAAACTTCTGAACCACTGTGTCTTCCATTTCCAAATCCAAATGACCTAGAGCCTCTACCACCAATAGAAGATTCAAAACTACGTCTAACAGATATAGAATCGACACTTTTTCTTGACAAATCCCTGTGTCTATTACTAGCAGATATACTCAATAAATCATCATTTAAAGATGTATCATCGTCATTAAAAGAAGAATGAGAATCATGAATCAATACCTTTGGAGTATTAAATGTATTTTCATTCGATTTTAAGATTGGTGATGTAATACCGATAGATTCACGTTGAGGAGTTCTTAAATCATCACGTTTCGGTAGTTCCATTATAAAATTTAAAATAAAACGTATCCTAGTTTTATTAAAGAATTACCCAATTAGCTCCCACTAATTACTAAATATCTTCAACCAATATCTAAAAAAATTAATTTGATTTATTGGACAGATAACTCTCAAATCAATCAAATCAATCAAATCATTAATTAATAGGTGTATTTCACTCTTTTATTTAAAACTATGCATGTGTTTCCTTTCGGGATTATTTCAAATATCAATATTGATATTTTAATCGTGTTTCACGATGTTGATATTATAATGAAATAGTTACAAGAAGTGACAGTAATTGGTAGATGTCAGTAAGCGTTTGATTTGAATTTAGATCTCTTTTAGTTTATCAATTGATTAATTGTATGCATTCATTACTATTTGTAATCTAGTATTTACACATTATATATAGTAATAGAGTCTCGAAAATTACGATAAAATAGTAAATCGATTAAAAAAGATCTTACATAGAATTGAGTAAAAAGAGATAATACAACATATATATATATATGTATCCCATTTTCTTTACTTGATTCAACCTAGACTTAGCGGAGTTTAATAATGCTGAATGTTGGTTGATTTTTGTCACAACAGTAATTTAACTGTTCTATCTTTTATTTATTCGATTTTTTTGCTATTGTTGTTTTAATATGGGAGAAAATATGAATTACAATAGAAATTGAAATATAATGAAAAAATAATAATAAAAAATATTTTTTTTTCCAATAAATGATGATTACTTTGAACATGATTAATGATGTATGCAGAGTAAGTTCTATTTAAAAATAAAATAGTAATAAAAATAAAGATAAAATAAAATAAAATAAAATAATAAGATTCAATCTCAAAATTTAAAAGCCATAGGGTGGTGGTGGGGGGGATAGTAATACAAAACCGATATAACAAACAGTATTATTAATTTGTGTTTAATTAATAATAATTACAATTGATAATTTCCGAGAAATCTTTTCTTACTCTTACTTTTTAATTATTTTAATAATTTTTCTGCCTCTCTTTTTCAACATGTCTCTTTCTTCTCTTTAAAAAACCTTTAACTAACCATTTTTCTAATCCATGTATTTATTTATATCCTTTTCTCCTTTGTTTTATGAATGTAAGTACCAATAAAAATGCAGTAGCATATGCAATAAAAATTCACTTTCTTTTGAAAAAAACTATTTACAATTCTTCATATTACTCTTCAAAATTTAAATTCACTGCGAATCGTTAGATGATGTCCTTTCAATCAATCCCTTTTTTGAGACCACCGATTTTAATGAGTCGTTCCTTGGCGAAAAATATCCATTTATAGCTACATCGCTAGATCCTACTTCTGCTTGTGAAGATGTGCTACTTGGGATTCGAAACGATTTCAAAACCTCTGGTTGTTTAAATCCTGAAATATGCGATGGTTTAAGAACAGAACTTGTGGTAGGATTAACTGAACAATTAGTTACCAGGGAAGGTGTACTTTCGTTATGTATGTCAGTACTATCTTCGTCCTCAGTATCTGAATCAAATATAAAATTGTTCGTGGATGGCTTACGTTGGCTGATACTTTGATTTGAAGGCTGATGATTAATGAAGTCAGGAGGATTGCTATTATGAGGAGTCAAAACCTTACCTGTTATAAAACTATGAGTAGCCCCTAAACTTACTAGTGAGGAGGTAGAGCCCCTACTTGCTAGTTCCTTCAATGAATTCGATGAGCTTGTCTTACCTAATGATAAAGTTCGCTTTAATTCTAGGCCATTATAATCATGCTCTTCATCGGCTGATTCTTCATCGTTATCTCCGCTGCTTTGATCGTGGGAGTGTTCAATAAATTGTTCATCGCTGTCAGTCGCTGAATATACTGAATTATTGTCATCATACATAAATTCATCTACATCATAACTTTGTGGCGCGCTCAAAACTTGATGATCAACTTTAGGAGGAATCATCATTTGAGAATAGTCATAGCCTTGACCATCATCTTCCATTGAAGTTTGTAAGTCGATTCCTTCTGGGATGTCCTCTATTCCAGCATGATCAACAGGTAAGAAATTAGAAGTATCACCAGTGTAAACAGAATTGTAATCATACATGTAATCGTAACCTCTGTAGGTATTCACGTTGTGAGATACAGCATTACCATAACTATCATAATCGCTATTTTCGGATTCTTCATCGGATCCATAATTTAAGGTTGTTGCCGGTAGCAACTTGATAATAGGATGCAATGATCTACCAGTACTGGTGGACCCTAAGGACGAAGTGTCTGTAACAGGAGAGTGTATACTTGAATCTAGTCTTCTTGAAAACCTTGCACTAATGAATAAACCACCTCCATCATTTTCGTCATCAGAAGAGGCTAAGGAATTTCCAGAGTTACTTTCACTATCAGATTGATTATAAAAATCATTACTGTCACTTGATAGATAACCCCCTTGCCCATAACGTCGCAGATCCTTTGAATCTTCATCGGAGGAACCATCTACTGATGAAATAGTATCAGTTTTCTGATACTTAATTGCCATACACTGCTCAACTCTGTCATTAAAATGAATATGTCTATTAACTCCTGATTTATTTGATCTTGAGGTTCCATTACCATTAGCTAAAATGGATAATAATGGAGGTTTAATTTCTGTCTCACTCCTTATTTGAATAACATCATCATTTAGTAGAATAGATGTTGAGCTGTTCGATGACATTGAGGAATTACTTTTGCTTTTAACTGGATAAACACCCTTGTCGCTTAAATTTTCAGCACTATTTGAGATTAAGGATTGTCCAGTGGCAAAATTTACATTTGAAACATCATTTTCATTCGTGTCATTTGAATTACCCCCTATTTGTTGTGAATTATCTGGACGTCTATGTGAATAATATTGAGCATTGATTTTGCCTGCTAGAGCTTTGTAGTCATTGTATTCATCAGTATGTACATTTCTTGAATATCCGTACGGATCCATAACTACATTTGCATGTCTCATTTCACTCATATGTCTTCTTACTTCATTTAATCTCCATTGGGAGTTTTCTTCTATAATTTCTGTCACTGTACGTTTCTTTAAAATTGGTTTTGGAACAAATTGGTTGGTAGCTTTATTTTTAGTGGAAATAGTTGTTAATCTTTTAGAAGTTTCATCATCTGAACCGTAACCTAACTGTATATTAGCATTATCTGGAAGTTGATTACCACCGCTCATTGGATCGTCTAAATTTTCTTGAGATGATTCACTTACAACTGGGCCGTATAGCCAAGTGACATCAGAATCCTTTGACCAGTTAACTATCTCTGGCGATACAGTTTTCAAGTTATTTCTTGCTTTTGCCCAGGTTCTCCATGATGCATTTTCTAATCTTGCAGAATTTACTGAATCAATGACATCTCTTTTCTTTTTCTTAAGAATGATATATTTCCAAGAGTTTGAAATTTCCGATTCATTCCAGTGATGAGATAAATAGTCTACATGAGTCTGTGGTTCTCTCATGACGTCATTATCATCTTGCGGAATCAATAAATTATCATTATCAGCTGCGGGAGGGGAAACTGAAGCAGAATGGGAAAATCTTACTAAATCATTCATTTCAACATCTTCGTCATCATCATCGTAATCGTCTTCGTCATATGCATCATATTCATCAGACTCGTCATTCTCATTATTATACATATCATTAGTATTATCATTAATCATTGGATTTTCGTTTTCTGTTTTTTCATTCAATAAACTTGTAGTGTGTGTATTCGATGTATTTGTTGTAATTGTAGTGGTATTTGTATTTATATCTTGTATTCCTGCATTTGTACTATCCTTTGTTATTGAATTAGAAGTATTGATGTTATAATTATTGCTAGTATTAGAATTGTCACCACTTGTCAAATCTTGATTCTGATCCGATTCTAATAGTTTTTTAGTAGGGTCGATAAATTTGTTTAGTAATCCCATTGATCTTGTTCTTTTCAAATTAAACGAACCCTTTTCGAAGGCGTCGTCATTGTCTGCTGTAACAGCCATTGATATGGAGGGTCCCATATCTTCATCATCGATATCATTACGTTGTAAAGGTGAAGAGCTGCCACTGAGTGGGGACCTGCTTCTATCTGCGAAAAAAGCGGCTAAATTATTTGACATTATGATTCCCTGTCTTTATTTAAAGTTCTAATGAACTTTTCCGATATTATGATGGTTTAATGATTTTAACTAGTCAAAAAATCAGGTACTAGTAAAATATCACGAATTATGCCAAAAAAAAAAATAAGGTAAAAGTAAAATCCAGGTAATCAGTGATATATCTTAATTAATATTTTGTTGTTATAATGTTAAAAAGAATTTTTGTCAATATTACCACAAATAAAGATTTCCTTGGGACGATGATCTTGAAAGAAAGTCCCTGAAATAAATTATCTCCGAAGGTTAATGAATATTAATAGAAGAATCCAGACAGGTGTATGCTTTTCTTGCTGAATTCTAATTTAGTTTATCTTGTTGAATCTTTAATGAACTTTGTGAAATAAGTCCTAGTGGGAAGTTTAGATTCTTGTGATTAAAAGAAAAAAGAAACCGAATATAATAAAGAAGACAACAAAACCTAAAAAATAGGAAATATCAGGTCTTTCAGGAGTCTAAGGATCGATTTCAATAAAGTGGTATACGGAAACAAAAAATACTGTTAAAGAAAAAAAAACAGAACTTTTTCTTTAGCTCCTCTCCTAACTTAAAGAATATCGAATATCTTAAAGAAAACAACAACAATCAAAGGAAGGGTATCTTTATAAAAGAATGAACCACAGTTACAGAAACTAGTATATGATAGAGACTAGTATCGATGAAAGTATATGAATAATCCCTTGTTAAGGAAGTCTTAAAGAGGGAGGGAGAAGGATAAGGGAATCAATACTATTAGTGTATGTCTTGACAAATATATATAAAACCTATACTATTGTCAATCTTGTTATAAATCTGAAACTCTATTGAAGTTCTCGGGTCACTCACACTTTCTACCTGTGCAGGTTATATTTATTAGTTTGGTTCTTACTCTTCACTTTTACTCTTCACTATTTCTTTCTTTCTTTAGCTCTATAGAAACTCCAAAAGAAAAAAAAAGGGAATATATATATATATCAAAAAAATATATATATATAATATATATATATATATATTTAATGGATCACCACAATCTACACTCCTGAACCTAATCAATCCAATACACTCTCTCTAATTTAAATAGAAACTGTATCCCACCTCAAAAATAGTATAGAATTTTGAAATATATAAAGGTCAAATAAAAAATTAAAAAAAAAAATTAATAAAATTAAAATTAAAATTACAAATAAACAATAATTCCACAAATCCCATAAACGATTATTCAACTGTATCCAATAATGACTATAATGATAAAGAAAACAAGAGTGTGAAATAGTTTATAAAACCAATGTTAGTTTGGATATTATATCGAAATTTTAATAGTTTTCTTTTGATACTTTAACATTAATTAATTTTACATTTACAATTACATTTCCAATAAATTATCACCATCACCACCATCATCTGTATCGTTGTTTACGACATAATAACTCTGATTGTGAGAGTGGGTCAAAAAAAAGTTTTTGCTGGGAGACAGAGAGAAACCCCCGTGCGCAAAAGGGGAGAATGGAAGGAAATGGTTGATTTCGTCTCTGGTGATTGTCTGGGTAATTGCTAGTCACGTGATGTGTTTTGGTTCTCTTCTCTTGTCTTCGTGATCCCCCCCCCCATAACCCCTACCCCCTATAAATTCTTGTCATGCAATGTAGATCACGTGTGGATTGGTTGAAGATGCAGGCGCATTTAGGTCACGGTCACCGTGACAGTGACAGTGACAGAAACACATTACATACAAAACTTGATGGAGACTTGGTCGTATTATCCATTTATATAATGTGATCGGATCGGATCTGTTGGAATTTAAACTGGGTCGCTATTACTGGCTTGTTTGTTTGTTTTTGGGGCTATTTATCTTTATGCAGTTATGGGTATTCTAATATACAATTGGAGGTGGCTAGTAATAATCTTGTTCCATTAGAATTGGTTGGATTTCGCTGAATTGAAAATGCATTGATTTGTGCAGATTTATCTTTCTTTGTTATTTTTTTGAACTGTTCTTGCGGATTCTTGATTTTATTCCATTGCTTACCTTCAATCGTTTCAAATATGGTAATCTCATTATTGTCAGTATTTAATAGTATATAATCCCCATACCAAATTAACCTCTGTGATGTCCGATACGTATATCTGTTCCGCATAATATCTGTATCTCCAAGTTGTAATGATATCATCGAATTTAAGTCGCTGAATGGTGTCCATTTTTTGATCTTGCCATCAAGTCCAACTGTAACTATTTCTCGACCAGTTTCATCCCACTCAATATCATTACATCCTCGTAAATGTGCATTCCCTGAAATCGTATCTTTCAATTCTAATAGCTGTCTATTGCTTTTTCTTAAATCCCATAATTTAACCTGTCCATTTTCATCTCCCGTGGCTACTATATTTGTCCTTTGTGGGTTAAATTTACAACATAATATAGGAGATTTCATCTCACTATTATTGGCATTTCCCAATGATGTTAACCCGAGATTCATGTTGTTCAAATCAATTAATCTTGGATGATAATCATCTGTAGCTACAACTAGCATATTTGTTCCTTGGTAACTACAATCAATCTGATTCACTTTATGTTCTAGCTTAATATCTTGAACAGGCACAAATTCATTTGTGTTCCAAATTTTGACACTATTATCATAAGATCCAGTGAAAAACATCCCATTGTCGTCCTTATACCATTTCAGTGTTCTAATGCTATACTTGTGCGATTCCAAAGAATCTTCCTCCTGTGAAGGTTCTTCTTTCCGCTGTACTGAATGTGTGTTATTAGATTTCCTGTACATTCTATATTTATTCCGACTAGTTTCAAAACTATGGACCAATTTCATATCAGCTTCATCCTGTCTAGCTCTTTTCCTTGAATCCAACTGTGCATTACTAATATCTATCTCCTCATCGGTACTCCTCTTAGCATAATTTAGTCTTTTATTCACTAAATCATAAATCTTGGATCCATTACTATCATAGTTTACCTCTAACCTTTCATTAAACCCCCACAAAGAAATAGAACCGTTGTTTGTAGCTCCCAAATAGAATTCACCTCCATTATCAATATCCAGACAAGTTATGGCTCCATACAATTCAGATTTTTTATGGTAATTATATATCTTTGGTGTTGATGATTCAACAATTCTTTCTAATTCTCGTAATCTTGTAAGGTTTACTAATTCTGAATTGTTGATTCTCCCCAATTTATATTGCAACAGTGTATAGTTCATCCATTAAACAGTATTGTGGTCCTATAAACTCAATACTTTTTTACATCTTATTTACTTTTCATTATTGAATTAACGTTTTAAATGTAAAGTTCGTCATTAGATAACCATACAAATAAGGTTTCCGAAATTAAAGAAATGATTAAAAAACATTAAAAAAACATATATATATATATATATAGACAAAGTTAAAACGAAATGGAAACTTTATTTAAAGAGTAGTTTTAATATTCGAATTAAAGGTTCATATCCAGAGGGACTAATTACTAAGTGAAGCTAAAGTATATCTTAAGTCATGTCTGGGGTACTAGATGAGATTATAATGGAAGATGTGGCAGCTAATTGTCCTGAACAATTCATCAATTATCATAAGTGCATCAGTCAACCTAATCAAGAATTTTCTAATTGTCGAACCTATCAAGTTCAATTAAGTGAGTGTATTAGAACGGAGGTTCCTAGTCTTCAGAAGATTATGAAGAATTGTGGTGATCTGATGAAAAACTATGAAACTTGTATTAGAGCTAATATGGAATCGAGGACAATTAATGAACAATGTACTCCTTTACTTAATCAATTAAGAGATTGTGCATTCAAGCAAGTTGAAGGAAACAAATTAGCCATCAACGAGATGAAAATTCGTTCTCTTGAAAATGGTTCAAAGGAATCTTCGAAATGATCTATAGCAATTATATATATACATATATATATTCACCTGTTAATAATTCCTATATAGATTTTTATACATATTCCAATTTTATTTGTTCGCTATCCTCTCTTCTCTCTCTTCCTCGAAAAAAATAATCTGGATAACCCAAAAACAATTGATTGGATAGAAGTCCAATATTTATTATATTTTCAACTATTTGAAATCTCTTTACATATATAATCTATATATATATAACATGAAATAAATTCAAAAATCATAAAAAATTCTAGTTACAACAAAAGATATATAAAATATTTAACCCAATTAGGGCCTCATACCGTTAAAGTCAATTGGTGACACTTAAAATCTTTGGATGGTTTCGTAAAAAGTCTTACCTTGAGTTTCGTGAATAGACAATTCCAACTTGGTTGGTTGTCTGGAACCATCAGCACCAGCCAAAGTACCAGCACCCCATGGAGAACCACCGTGAACTTCTTGGATGTTAGACAATTCAGCGAAAGCGTTCTTGTAACCCAATGGAATGTAGATCATACCGTGGTGAACCAAGGTAGACAAAGCATTCATAGCAGTAGATTCGTTACCACCACCAGTACCGGTAGAAACGAAGATACCAGCTGGCTTACCATGCAAAGCACCCTTAGCCCATAGACCACCAGTGTGATCCCAGAAAGCCTTCCATTGACCTGGGAAGTTACCGAATCTGGTTGGGATACCAAACAAGAAAGCATCGTATTGTTGCAAAGTTTCAGAAGAAGCAATTGGGTAGTCTGGCTTTGGTTGACCACCTAAAGCCTTAACGACTTCTGGGGATAAAGTTTCAGCAACTTGGAAGATGTCAGCATGACCACCAGCAGCTTCAATACCTCTCTTTTCAGCTTCGGCAGTGATGGCAACGTGACCGTATAAAGTGTAAATGATAATAGCAACCTTTGGCATTTTTGAATGTATTTTCTTGTTTAATATGTGTTTAAGTTAATTAACCAATTGATAAGAACTGAATAATTGACCTGGTTTTCTGAGCAAAAAATAAGAATTAATAAAGAAAAGAAAAAAATATGTAACAAATACAACTGAACAAGAGATAGTTGATAAGAATACAATCATAAATAATTTTTTCACTTGTATATCAGTCTACTTATATATATATATATATTCATCAAGTAATTGCAAAAATATTTTCTTCCAGGGGTTTTGCAATCTTCTTCTATCTGCCTCCCTACTTTCGAAATGCCAAACCATTTAGACATCTAAGACCCAACCGAATTGAACTACTGAATTAATTAATAAAAATTATTAATATTTTACTAACTACTAACAAATAAATTCAAATAAAGTTTTTTTTTTTTCCTTTCTTTCTTTCATTCATCTATCCATGTATTCCAGTAATCAACCCGTGAGTATCGACAAAACTACTTCAACCTTTAGTAAAGGAATAATCAAATGAGATGAAACTTTCTTGGGTAGAAAAGAAGAGAGAGAAGAGAGAGAGAGAACTTTACTTGACGTCCAGCCTAACACGCTCTATGCTGTGCTATGTAGATGGACAATACTTGAGCAAAGAAGAAAATAAAAATTACAATAGTTAAAATCCAATCGAACCCAGTTTGCACTTAATGCTCTTGTCTGCACTGGTACTGTACTGTCTGTACACTTTCTTGACAAATATCAATTATTCAGTTGCTTGTAACAGTAATTACCAAGATTGTGTGTGGTGGGTTTGTTATAAGAAATGAGACTGAAGGGAAAAAAGGTTGCTTTTACATTTGAGGCTTGTTATCCACGTATTCCATATACTGATTTCACCAGACTGTAGCTGTAATCTGAAGGAAGCAGTGGAAGTAATACTTCGAACGATGTTTTATTTTATTTTATTTTATTTTATTTTATGTTATGTTATGCTATGTTACGTTACGTTACGTTACGTTACGTTATTGCAGTAGGGAGTAGAAATCAAAAAGACAAAACAAAACTAAATCCAATTCAATTCAATTAAATTTAAGCCTTACAGTATGCACAGCAACAAGGAAACTCTTAACATCCACCATTAGCACCTTACCTTTTGTTAGGAAAGTGTTGATTCGGATAGGTTCCTTTTGATGTTTCTTAGTGTCAAACAAGGGGGTAAGGTAAGGTAAGTTGAACTATATATGGGTCTATGGTTTATTATTTTAAATTCAATTTGCTTCTGTGGAAGTGGATTGAAATGCAGAAGAGGACCAATAACTGGGTTATTAGTTATATGGTATTAGGTCTGTTTGTGTGTGTGTGTATGTCTCTCTCTCTCTCCTCTAGAGTGTGCCCAGTTCATCATCATCATGTCTTGCCTGTTCTTATTCTTAATCTAGTTCGAAATTTAATCTACGTTTAGAATTTCGATATTTTTTTTTTATTCAAGTTTAATCCCAAGATGCCGTTGTTGTAGTGTTTTAATGTGGGATATTCTTACAAGATGTTACGTTTGTTTGTTTGTAATGTAATGTAATTGTATGTCTTGAGAGAGGTAGATGGCATGGGATTGTATATAGGGGGAGACGGCAGTGCATTTGATTAAAAAATAATTGTTGTATTAATTACCAACACACACTTTTAATTCAATTCCACTTTCGAGCTGGATTAGAGAAGATGTGGTGGGGAAGAGGAAGGGGGGGGACAAGGAGAAAGAGAGATAGTGGTGTGGCAGAGAGACGGCAATTGAGGATAGGATTACTGGAAAACAAGGGATTGAATTTCAGACCAGACCTACTTGTTATAATTAAAATTATTTCTAATTTTAATTTAAAGGTTAGTTAGTTATTTGTAGTGGTATTACAAAAGAGTTGGTACGTGATGTAACGTAACGTGGAAGGAAGAGACAAGCTTGTGCATGTGTGTGTGTGTCTCTCTCTCTTTACGTTTCTTTTATCTTGATTAATTATCGAACTGCTTTTCTTATTTTTTTATGGTAATAGTAACGATAATTTTCTAAAATGATAAACTACGTACAATCTTGATAATGTATAATGATGTATTCACTTTGTCAATTGCAATTGAACTTGATACCTCTGAAGAAACTGGTACAAGATACAGATAGATATCTTCAAAACTGAGAAGTCTGATCTCTCGACGAACTGCAATGAGTGAGGGAGTAAAGTGGTACTAAAGGGAGGTAAAAGGGGAAGCGGGAGGGGGACGGGATATGGTGGCATTGAATTATAATATTATACCTTATTCCAAACATACTAATTACTTTTATTAGACGATATTTATGTAAAAGGAAAAGAAACACTATTTCCATGCTCTTCTATATATTTATTGTATACTGTTCGTATGCTCACCCACGCTCCATAATACATCGTACTATCTTACGTTCGTCTTTTTTTCCCAAGTAGAAGCTATGTTAGCTATTGCATGTCCCATCCCATCGATTGATTCATTGGTTAGCTGATTCTGGAAGATTCTACTGTGTGCTACGTAACAGTTAACCAAGAAGAAATCATAGACAAGAGAGAGATTAAATCTCTCTCATTTACCTTTCTTATTCATGAGATTAGCTAGGTTCCGTTACTTACTTACAAACTATATACAAATTTAATTTAATTGAATTTAATCTAATTTGGTCTAATTTGGTCTAATTTAATAGAAGTTCTTAGTATGAGGAGAATAAATAAATATAATAAGCACCACAAATTCAAATAGGTATTGTTAACAGCATTGAGTTTTTTTTATCAGTTAATTAGTATGAAGAAAGGGGGAGTAATTAAGTATTCCTCCTTTACCAATTCCTTATTTTAAAAAAATGCAAAAACCAAAAAACGTAACCTTTTGAATTCATTTAATTGCCTTCATAGTTCATTTGTTCGCTCAACTATTTTATTTTGGGTTCTTTTCTTATTGTAATTAGTCGTCTCTCATATAGTCATTAATTTAAAACTGGCACAACTTTAGAGTCATCGTGATTTGGTTTATCACCAGTAGGATGAATTCTACCATTTGGTATTCTATAAAGGGCACCACCAATTGGATCAGCTTGATTTGTTGGATGCTCAATATTCAAATTAGCAGTAGTAACAATAATATCTTCCTTGTAAATACAACAACATGAAGCTCTAGCTTGAGGTATTTTAAATTGTTGCAATAAATTACCTGTCTCCAAATCGTAGGCTTGAACTTTTGATGTTGACCAGACAGATACATAAATAACATTAGTATGGTAATCAACGATACTTCCATCAGGTTCTGGTGATGCGAATCCCTTATTAGAACCGTTATTAATAAAATCGATCAATAATTGTTTCTCTTGAGTCTTGTGATTATATTTCCAAATAACAAAATTCAAAGAATCTGTGATATAAACAATATCATTATTCTTACCATCCCAATGGATTGAATTTGGAATTTTAATGTGATCATAAAACATTGTCAAAGCATTTTTTTCAATGTCGTAGAGTAAAATACAACCTTCATCGGTAACTTGGAACTCAAATGAGTTCATCAAACCCATTAAAATGAATTTACCACATGGAGAAACATTACCATCATTTGATCTCAAACGAGAGAAACGATCATAAGTCAAATCTTTACATTGATCATAAGTAACCAAATACTTCCATTTACCAGTATTTAAATCAATCTTACCAATACCGAAACGAGAACCAAACATAGCAGAGGTTTTATCAATTGGGAACACCACACCAACAGATTCTTTGCAATTGAATTTGGTGAAAGGATATTCACCATCATAGGTTTCTGGGGTGATCTTGAACATACGGTGACCTTCTACCTTGTCGATATTGTCTAAAGTATGAATCTCAGCTTTAAAGATATCAACCCAAAACAACATATCATGGTAAACAGATACACCTTCTGACAGTTTTGCAGTCTTGTCATGGTAAAAAATTGGCAATTGAGAGTAATCAGCTACAGACATAGTGTATATATATATACGAGTGTGATATTAGTATTCGATACTTTTAGTAATAAATAGATATAGTAGAAAATAAGCTATATTCAATATAAGAAAGAATAGGGGTTTTATATTTCCACCGAAACAGGTTTTAATCTTGATTAGATAGAATTGATTAAAACTGAATAAAAAAAACTTGAGAAAGGTATTCAATATCAGAATGACCCCACAATCAATTGGAAAAGAAAGATCTAACCTTATATATATATATTACTGTCGATAGAGTATGATATAACCACCACAACCTCTTTAGTTTCCCCAGGATACAACAAGTTAGTTGCTAATGTAATGCAGCCAGTTGCCTGAATTTCGAACCAGATCGAGTGATCGAAATTGTTTTCGTTATAATGTATTGGAGGCAGAAGGAGGGAGCGGTATTAATCGTAAGCTTTATATAGCAGCAATAGATGTAAAAAATGCGTAGTACGTCATAAGATTAATCGTAGTAATTGAAAAAAAAATTAAAAATGCACCATTACTTCGAGAAAAGGTTGGGAACAAGTCGAAGTATTCAGCATATTCCATTTCGAAGGAGGCTATTAATTACGGGTTTGTTGCAAGACTGTGAGTTACTAAGCAAGTAGTCGACTACCTAATTTAAAAACGGTGTGATAAGTTATTTTGTTCAACAAATCAGAAAGTGTGGATTGAGAATCAAAGTTGATATGAAACCAATTTGACAATTGATGAAGAGGTGTGGCGGATGTGAGCTGATACACCATCAACAGTTTTCTTTCAAGATCAATCAATTGATTGGTTCTTGTTGTTGCCAAGACGTGGATAGCCAAATCGATTACGTTTTAAGACGTTTCACAAATTAGTTTAGTTTAGTTTAGTTTAGTTTAGTTTAGTTTAGTTTAGTTTAGTTTAGTTTAGTTTGGTTTGCCTTGAATTGAATTGAATTGAATTGGATTGAATTGAATTGATTCTGAATTGATTTGATTTGATTTGATTCTGATTTTGAAGGTGCATATAATAAGTGTGAGTGTTCTTATTTAAAAGTACAAGCATAAGCATGTGGTAAAATAAAAAAGGGTTGATCAGTACTTGAATGCATGTATTTAAATATTTTGTATATTTGAGGTGTTTCTTTTTGAAGTTGGAATAAATTAATAACTTCCTTTCATTATAAAAAGAAAAGACGAAATCAAGATCTGTACACGTGAAATTCACGTGAACTAACAAAATATAATTTCTATATCTTGTGTATGGAAGGATAGACATATAGACACATTTGTAAATTATAAACTCAGTGTACTTATGAATTCATCATGTAAGACCTTTTTTTGTTTCTTTTCCACGCCTTCCAATTACCCATTTTTATTATAAACTTGTAACGTTTGCAAGATTTGGGTTTTTAAGGAATATCGATCTGAATAAGAAACCATCAAACAATCACTTACTTTCCAACAAAATACATACAAGTATAATGAAATATAATATAGCCTTGGCCCCCCAAACGAGACCTAACACATCAACATCAGCAGCATCAGCATCAGCAGCATCAGCATCAGCATCAATACTAACATTAACAATACAACAATATATACTTTTTTATTTACACAACCATACTTGATAACCTCATCTCATTGCATTTGATAACAGTAAATAAATCTCACACATCTCACATCTCACTTGAAAATTACCCAAGATACAAAAAATAACGGTAGAACCGTACTGATGATACTCATCTACCCGGATCTCCAATTTTAATACACATTTCATCAAATTTTCCTTTCTTTTGTACTGATGCTGACCAAAGTACTCTTACTCAAAAAGATTAGAAATGTTGATTAATCAATCAACCAATCTGTCGGTGTTCTCCCCTTTCACTCGGGAGAAAATAAAACCTAAACAAAAACTAAATTCTACTCTCCTGACTACATTTCATATCTGTATTGTTAATTCGGATTTGGCTAAAAGTAATAGCAAATACCAAACTAGTATAATGTTTCTTGTATATTTTTCATTATCGTTATAGTCGATGTGATATTATCACTATTATTTTAAAAGTCAACCACACCAACCGATATCAGAAACTGTCGTGAGGCAATTTCTCTCGGGAGCCGTATCTCATTCATTCCATTTTTTCCTAGCAGAAAGAGATAGAGGAAGAAATTGAGAGAGAAAGAGATAAAAGAAACTCTTTGTCATTCATTGTATTCTCACAGTCTTGTTGTATAATACAAATTTACAATACATATATATTTTATTCAATGTAATAACATAATACCACCATCACCAGCTGAAATTTAATAGAACACTTGGACCAAGAACACACACCTCTTGGATGGTATGCTATCAAACACCGAGTTTAACCTAAACATCTTTCTCTCATTGCACTGTCCTTGGGTAAACCCGTAACAATACCATAAGAGATATCTTTATCTTTCTTCAATCTCTACCTGATTTCTTGGCCTTGTCTGATTTCAACAAGCGGTTTCTACCACACATATCATATCATATAATATCTTATTCTCATAATTGCCTTCTTTATTTTATTACAATTGAATTGTACTAAGTTAACTTTAGTTGAACTGTACAAGAGCAAACTCGACTGAACTGAACTGAACCACTGGTGCGTACGTGCTTACTTGCTGTCTTTTCTCATCACAAATTGTCTTGTCTCCCAAACGAACAATTTTGTATACATTTTTTGCTCTATTCTATTTTTCCGACAGGGGTTACTTGAACACTCAGAGTTACTTAGCGTTATGTTTCAGTACCCAGGTACTTCCATATCGGGCATTTGCTACTCTTTGGTTTTTGTTTACCGGTTCCCATTTTCGGACACCCAGTTGTTGTTGCTTATCCGTTTCCAGAAACACATACCAATTTTGGAAACCGAAGCTGTTTACGGTTATTTCTCATCTCCTACCGCTATTTTACAATGACGTTATAACATTTTTAACCTGTTTTGTTTTTACCTCATCTCTTCTTTTCACTTCCCTTCACTTCAATTGACTTGACTTAACTTGACTTAACTCGACTCGACGTAACAATTGTTTGCATTACATTACTGTTCGAAACTTGGAACTCTTAAATTATATTTCTCTCGGCTACTTGACCTTACTGAGTAATTGAAAGCTTTTCTGATACTCTTTCTACACTCTAGTTACCTGGCATCGAACCAAGGCAATGGATGATACATCATCCTTGTCCGTTTCCACCTCTCTCTTTGCGTTGTATATTGTATTCTTTTAAATTTTAGATGAATTATTGCTTTCAGCAATAATTCATCCAAAGTTTGTTACAATTTATCCAGCACATACAGAGTGAAAGGCATGAACATGCACACCCATCCCGAGCTTAAGGTTTTGAGGGTATTATTTGTTTATGTTATAAAATCGTCCCTTATACAGTAATTTCTCTTGTCCATTATACATCGAAAGTTGTAAAAATGCAAAGCAAGGAATAACTAAAGATAAAAATGAATGAACCACACTAGTATTGAAGCACAACAAGGGAAAAACAATAAAATGAAATAAGATAAAACTTTTTTTGTTATCAAGAAAGTACTTACTAAGCTAATAGTTTCTACCCTTCTATCAATGCATTGGATAACTCTAAGAAAAAATTTTTTTTTTCATCAATTCCTAATTAACTTTTCAATTCCCAAACTGAACAGCTCTCTAAATATAAATATCCTCTTATTTCAATTTCAATACCTTTTCTAAATTTCTTTCCTTTCTCACTTCAACCTTTCTTCAAAAATATTTATTTATTAGTATTATCTCATCTACTCTTCCTACTAACTTTTTTGTTTAAATTCTCCGAAACAAACCTTGCGTCAGCAAATACCATAATTTAAAAAGAGATGTCTGATTTCGTAGACTTAATGAAGAGAGGTGGTAACCAAGCCATCAGAATCAACCCTCCAACTGGTGCTGATTTCCACATCACCAACAGAGGTTCTGATTGGTTATTCTCAGCATTCTGTGTTTTCATGTTCTTTGCCCTATTATTAATTGCTTTAATGTTCAGAAAACCAGTTACCGAAAGAAAATACTATTACACTGCTATTGCCCCAATGTTCTTCATGTCCATTGCTTATTTCACCATGGCTTCTAACTTGGGTTGGACTCCAATCAGAGCTGAATTCAACCACGTCAGAACTAGCACTCAAGTTGAACACCCAGGTTACAGACAAATTTTCTACGCTAGATACATTGGTTGGTTCTTGGCTTTCCCATGGCCAATTATTCAAGCTTCTATCTTAGGTAACACCCCATGGTTACACATGGCTTTCAACGTTGCTATGGTTGAAGTTTTCGTCGTCTGTTGGTTGATTGCTTCTTTGATCCATTCTACTTATAAATGGGGTTACTACGTCTTCGGTATCGCTGGTGCCATTGTCTGTTCCATCTCCGTTATGACTACTACTAACAACTTGATCAAGACTAAGAACGATGCCAACTTAAGAAAAGTCTTTATCTACTTCTACTCTATCATTATGTTCTTCTGGTTCACTTACCCAGTTGCTTTCGGTATCTCTGAAGGTGGTAACGTTTTGCAACCAGATTCTGAACATATTTTCTACGGTATCTTAGATTTATTGATGATGTGTGCCGTACCATTGATCTTCGTTGTCATCAGTGGTTACATGGGTGCTGAAAGAATCGAAGGTAAGAAGTCTAAGGATGTCGAAGCTTTATCCAGTCCAGCTTCTCCAAAGATTGGTTCTCCATCTACTTTAGCTTCTCCAAAATCTCCAAAATCTCCAAAGTCACCAAAGTCTCCAAAGTCTCCAAAATCTAAGAAGTCTAAGAAGTCTCACAAATAATCTAATTGATAAGATTGAATGAATATTATTGATCTTTTCAACTAGAATTATAAAAAATTTAAAATCTCATAAAAATAAATTTACTAATCATTTTTAATTTCACCATATTTGTCATCAATGTTTGTCAATTGTCGTTCATATAAGACTATTTCCCTTAATAATCGTCCTGGAATTTTTCTTATCCATTGAATTTATATAAATTGGTTTCCCCGGTTTTACAAATTAAAAGAATCATGCCTTTTATATAAATCATATTTGATATTTTTGTATAATACCCAATGCAATGTCATAATAAATAATCATTAATAAAATTTTATAAATTTACTTAACGTTACCTCATTAATAATAAAGTATTAGTTTGNACTTTTAAGAAAATCAAAAAAAGGTAAAGATTGGGTCTTGTCATTGTCTTAATGCATTACTTATTGGGAATGTTCGAAATTTATATTTCTTTATTAGAATTACATAATCTATAAATTGTCATTATATTTTTACAAATGTCGTTCCTTAAAATTGCATGGCCAACTTTACCATGTCAAGATATCTTGCTCCGCGGCGTTGCTATTTCCTGCCCAAACTTCCTCCAACCTATGTAGGTTATGTTCAGATAATCTAGAAAATGTGCTACTGTTTAAGTGGTAATAATTCCTAATGACATCTTTAGTTTCTTCATCATTTGCATTTAGACCTGCTATTAGAATAGCAAAATTGGAATAACATGTTCTGCGGTTTTTTGGTGGTTCATCACTATCCAAAAATTTAAAAAATGAAGTTATACGTTTGACCACTTCCTGTATTATTGGCGAAGTTTTCCTTATGTTTAGTAATTTCAATAAAACTATCATTAAATAAGATAACACTTGAGTTTGGTGTGAAATATCATACCAACTAATTGCTATCTCTTCACCGTTTCGTAACTTAACCAAATCAATAGCGTTATCCTTTATTTGGCTTTTACTTGGGTGGGACTGATTATCAAGAGGGATTATACCACTTTTATTAATAAATTCGTAATCTAACTGCCTATCAATCTCTACCAATATTTTCTGTGTAGCAAAGTACGACAAACTCTCACCAGGTTCTTCTTCTACCATTGTGCCTGGGCTGACAATGGTTCTTTGAAAAGATAATGGCAAATTGCTCAATTCACCAGCAATTATCTTACCATTTTCATTCTTACTTTTGTTAATCCGTTGCAATTTATTCAGTGATTTCATTACCTCTTTAATGACTATATCAAAGTCTTCTTTATGACCTCTCAGCAGATTAAATTCATTTAGCGGTGTCATTATATCTAGGTACTTTAAGGAGTCAACGTATTGATAATCATAGGGGTTGAAAATTAAATCGATATCACAGTCTGATGTCAGTGAGCCACCAAAATTTGTACTAATACTAGCAAATGTCTCCATAATTTTAAACCAACATTTTGCAACATTCAATACTTTAGAAGAATTACCTTCATGTATTTTCTTGAAAAGGTCAATAATACCTTTCAAATGTGATCGCCATTGTGAATTCATCGTATATATACAATCCCAGGCCAGCATTATCACTGTCAATATTATAGGTTCTATTTTATTAATGACATTAGATTCATTTTGAAACTGTTCATCAAGACATCTTAGACAATGAGATAGATATTGACAATAGTTTTTTTCATCTTCTAAATCTTCAGTTTTTCTATGCTCAATTGATGCACCGACTGCCAATATAGCAGATAAGAGATATGATTCACCCTTCGCAAAAGATAACAAAATATCTCGTAGTGGATTACCTTGATCTTGGAAAAATGGTGCAATTGAATCCATGCAGTCATAGTAAAATAGTTTTAAATATTTCTCATGGATATCACCCAATTTCAACGATGATAGATCGGTGTTAAATGTAATTATGCTATTAGAATTGAATGATATAGGAACGGAATTCAGAGTTTCCTCCTTTGAGATTAGTTCTGGTAATTCTAAATCAAATGAACCCAAATCCTTTAAATCTTCATTCAACTGGAATGAGTCATGAAGTTTCATATTTACAATATCATTTAGATTTTGGATCAATAGACTTGCATCATAGCCAGATACTTCAGATGTTATACTATGATTCCCAAATGCATCTTGTATACCTTGTTTAACAGTACCGTTGACATTTAGTACATTTTTCTGTATATCAGTGTAAGTATTTCTTAGTTCTATCTTAGAAGGCGTTACGACTGTGGAAGAGCAATGTTCTTCCACAATATTTTCAGTTGATTTACCATTTCTTTTCTTGTTTTTAGGATTCAAGACATAAACACATTCACGATTCAGACGAGAACATTGCCAACAGGTAGGTTTAGTCTCATCACATTTCATTCTTCTCCTTTTACATTCTGCACAACCATTTCTTGAATATTTTCTTTTAACTACATTACCCTTTGAGTCTTTAATAGTTGATGTTACTGAAGTTTTAGGTTTCAATGAAGGTGCAATATAGTCATTAGGACTACTAGCATTAGTCGATGGACCAGAAACATATCTAATATTGCTTGATACAGACTCTAAATCCAGGTTACCATAATTTGGAGTATCAGCAGCACTACCCTGCTCCGGAAAAAGATTTGAAGCTAATTTATCTGCGCTTGAGATAGATGAGTTACTACTATAGATAGAAGAAGCATTCACATCCTTTTTCTCAGAATTAGCACTGCTACTTCTACTATCATTACTTCTCGTTTCCTCAGTTTCGAACATTTTCCATAACTATCTTCAATATATCTACCGTTCTAACTTATGGTTCCCAAATTATTAATATGTATAATCAGTAAAACTTGGACTGGCGATGACTAGATTAAGCAACACCTTGACTAATAACGTTTGATTTCTTCAGCTTCCCCTCCTCTTGACAAAAAATATTGTTGCAGGATTTGGAAACCTTAACTTAGTGATAAACTATAAATGACCGACTGAATAAACAATTTTAGCGGTTGATAGCCACATTTACTTAAACTAACAATATCAGTTTCAATAGTCATTTCTAAAATTCCTTTGGAAAATTTTTCATTAATGCTGACTTAATTTTTTTTCATGCGGGAAACTTTTTCATTGCATTTCGATTTGATCCATCCTTATTAATGCTGTGCGATGAGGTCAAGAAAAAGCAAGATGGCATTTCTATTCACTGATAGAGATAGTTGATAAGAGATCAGAAACCGACCTAACTCATATGATATTGCGATTTTGACAACTTAAAACTCACTCCTTATAGAGAGTAATGGCCTTATCGTTTGTAGTTTTCGGTTAAAGAACTCTTAGAAAGTAACGCTATGATTTTGATCAATCATTTTGATTAACATTTTTTTTGTAATAGTCTATCAAGGATATCTGATGGTTTCAGATATTGAGTATTAATATCTTTGGAGATACTAATCCATTCTGGACCATGTGTTGGTTCTACTTCTTCAATTTGTTCTCTACACGAATTAATAGGGGTCTTCAATTTTATGTAACATCTTGCTAACCATACCCAAGAGTCACCATAACGAGGGTTGCTCTTTGTACTTCTATGTAGCCATTTTAATGCTGTTTGGAATTGTAGGTCTTGATAAAATGAAATCCCTATTTCGAGTAATGTTAGGTAACTATTAGAGGTATTCTTTAGAGCATCTTGGAAAAGGGTTTTCTTGGATATTGGCTTCTTTGAGTTTGATAATTTGATCTTCTCTACCCATAGTACCGCACTAGAAGATAATTGCTTTAAACCTTGAGACACAACTAACGAGGCTTGTTCAACATTGCCCAGTCTTTTTTCCAGCTGAGCCTTTGCAAGGAATAGCAGTTCTTCCTTTGGATTTTTTAATATAGCCATATCCAAATCAGCCCTTGCCTTAACTGAATTATTGAAACTACATTCATCTAATTTAGATAATGAAACCCATAATGCTGGGCATGATGGAATTTTCTCAGTCCCATATTTTAACCATTTTCGGCTACTTTCAATATCACCAATAGTTTCATATATTTGTCCTAATTGTAAGTAAAATTTATGATTCGAGCTAAATTTTTGAATATAATCATTTTCTAGTAACTGTATTGCCTTTTCGTTTTCATTCTGATACCTTAAAAAACTAATATACTTGTAATATAACCTTTCAATATTTGGAACTTCATCAACTGGTAATTTTTGAATGGAATCTTCGAATAGCGACCTAACTTCTGCTAACCTAGAGGACCGAGAGAATAGTTTTATTTTAGCTAACCAAATATCAAGGTTTTTTGGTAGAATAGTTAAGGTTTGTTCTAATATCTTAATTGCTCTATCAACATCACAATCTTTTTTCCACACAGCCTTTGAATACATTAATGCTAAAACAGGATATCCTTTAAGTACATCACTCCCTTGGTGGCCTTCAAATAGTATGGATTGAAAGACATCGAATAGAATAGATGATTTATTATCTGTGTAGCAAATATCTGATAACAGTTTCCAGAGAGATAATTTTCCTGGATTATGCTGTAAAAGATACTTTAACACAGTTATTTTTGAACTGGTAGATTCTAAGTTCTTGATTTGTTGTATGTTTTCTGAGGAATAAAGATCTCCACTTTCAGATATTAAAGCTGCTATTATTATTGCTTCAGAGGTATATTTAGCAGTTGGCTCTTTTCCTAAATTTTGGGCCTCTTTAATCCAAGTTAATAAAGGGAGGGTTGTTCCATTTTCCTGTAGTTCTTTGATTCCGTCTATTAAAAAGTCAACAATTGTGTCCACAGTACAATTTTTATTAAACTTTTCTTCGATGTTAGCAGCCATGATTAGTACTTGAGGCTCGTTGGGTAGAAATGTTTTGACTTTATTAAGAGAAATCTTTGCATCATCATGTGGTTGAAATTTAACTAATGTCTTCCAAAGATAAATGCTCTTAGGAACAAACTGAACCGCCTTTAAAGCAATTCTCAACTTTTCATTATCTTCTGATTCATATTCTATCGCCAATTTCCACAATTCTTCTTGATTTGAGATTTCTTGAATTGCTTTTCTTACCACTCTTTGCTTATTGATAGTCTCATCTTCTAAATCAATCGCCTTAATCCATAGCGCCAAAGAGTCCGGATTGAATCTAATAGCCTTGGCAACTAAAGTTTTGCATAAATATTTATCGATTTCATTTAAACGTATATTTTCCAGCCAAATATCCTCACTTCTAGGACAGTATTTAGATCCATCTGCTATGATTGACCTAGCCGCTTTAATTCTTCCACCCCTTTCCTCTAGCCTTGCAGAAGCCAGCCATCCTTCAGGGTGTTGTTTGTCTGATTTAATATAAGATTGTAAAATAACACGCATGTTATTGACACTATCATCATTTGTCTCATCATTATTTGGTGCAATACCGTCCAGTTCCTGTAAATATTTTCCCACATCATCTTTTTTCTTGTCTTCAAACCCTGTATCCATTAAGCTAGAATCCAATTGTCTTCCTAAAAGTCTATCTCTTTCTTCAGTCAATTTTGAAAGATTTAGCTGATTTGACAGTAGGGTATCTGGAGCAGCATAAGATTTCCTTAATAGTTGATCTTCCAGTCTTTGCCTTTTGTTCCTTTTTGTAATGTCACCAGCTTCTGGTATATTTAACCATTGATCATCAGTAACGTTCGAAAGAGATTGTTTTAAGTCGTTAAAATTTCCTGAAATTTTAGTAGAATTAATAACATTAATAACATTATTATTATCGTTGTTGTGGTTGTTACTAGCTTCATTTTTTTTATTCCATGCTCTACTCCGTTTAGCTAATTTTGAATCAATGTCTCCAAAAATTTTTTCAGCCTCTAAATCTTCGTTAATATCATTTTGCTTGAAGTTATAACTGGATGTCCTTATATTTTCACCTTGTAATCTTTTAGGGATCTTTTTATTGTTGTCACCTCTAGTTGAGAAACCTGTAGCACCTCTTCCAATACCAGGAATATAACCAGGAGGAGGATCCTGGTCTAAAAAAGCTGGTCTTTGCATCCCACTAGTTCAAGCCCAAGTGTATAATCCTAATTTCTCAATTGGATTGGTCTGAAATATAATAATTCTCCTATCAATTTAAGAGACATCCCCATTTTAACCTCGATGAGGTTTAACATTTTTCAATAACAGACTTTAATTTTAATTTTTACATTTTTTTGCCAAAAATTGTAAAGTAATAGCAGTGAAAGCTGCCAGTAGCTTAGTTAATTCGATAGTTGAGAACTTAGGAAGAAAGTAAAACCACCTGAAGACGAATATATATTACCAAAATTGTAATAAAGACTTTAATTTCTGATAAAATGTTACAAAAGTACCATTAAACTGGAATAATTTAAAATAAATCACATGCCAAAACTAAAGGTATTTGAGTATAATGAATTTCCTACACAAACAACAAGCAATTGGAGGGTTGGCCGAGTGGTCTAAGGCGGCAGACTTAAGATCTGTTGGACGGTTGTCCGCGCGAGTTCGAACCTCGCATCCTTCAAAGTTTTTCCATCAGTTTTTTTTTTGGTTTTTGGATTCTTTGTACCATACATAACCAACCATTATTATATAATATGGTATTAATTATTTAACCTATCCTTATTTTAAATCTGTTTGAGCTGACATACAAACGAGTTAAATTACTATCTAATCCAGAAACATGTTCCTTACTGATTTATACATCTTAGAATAAGGTAAATGAGACTAATTTATTTTTTCAGGATATATTTTATATCAAGTAACTTCTCTACTTTCTTTGGCACGTCAATACAGCCATCACAAGTTATGTAGCCATTTACAGAACTTGTGATATAACAAGAAGATAATCAAGGCTTTAAATTTTGACCATCTTAAATAAGTAAAGGTACTAAAAAGAAATAAGAAGTACAATGGTGGTGGTTTCTTGAACGAATGAATTGTAACTTTCTATACATCGCATTGTATCTATTTAGAGTGAAGCGAACTTTAACCTGCTTTCATCCAGAGATCATTGCTATTATATAAATATTGATAACTTTATCATTTACTTCATTAGTGCAAGGTAAAGCAAGATACCAAACAGACAGCTAGTAGAGTATAAATTACGAAATTTTTTGTGTCAAAAGGTTCAATACTATTTTCAAACCAGTATTGCTATTGTCATTAAAGATCAGTTCATTCAATTATATATACATTTCTATGATTTAAATCCCAAATTCAATATTGGCATCTATTATTAATATTATTATTAATAGAGGAAAATAACATTCACTTTATTGTAATAGAATAAGTTTCATGAATTACGGCATTTTAAAAAGCTTCATCTAAAAAATAAGGACTAATTCATCTCCCTATCTATCTATTAATCTATCTCTCTATCTCTCTATCTGTATACCTTCACTGTTAAATTATTTGCTATCTCTTTTAAGATTGGAACTCAGAATAAAACATATTCAAGTTTGTTCTTCCTTCCCTCTTTCCTTCCTTATCATTGGTCTATAAAGTATTTAACATTGCTTTTAGAAGGG